ATGTCTGTTTTCAGAGAGGACAACAGTTGTCTGATATATTTTGGTGCTCCTTCGTTTGGTGAGTATATGTTAATGAGTGTTATTTCTTCTTGAAGTATTGTCCCCTTGATCATAATGTAGTGACCATTGGGGTCTCTTTTTATCTTTTTGAGTTTGAAATCTGTTTTATCTGATATAAGTATAGCTGTTCCTGCTTTCTTTTTTGGTCCATTTGCTTGTAGGATTGTTTTCCATCCTTTAACTTTGAGCCTATTTTTATCTTTTGTAGCTAAATGTGTTTCCTGGAGACAGCAAAAGGTTGGGTTTTGTTTCTTAATCCAGGCTGCAACTCTGTGTCTTTTTATTGAAGAGTTTAGTCCATTTACATTTAGAGTTAAAATATTGATATGTTAATATCTGTATTTGCCATTGTGTTTGTCTTTCCTTTGATTTTATTTATTTATTCTTTTAATAACTTTTTTTTTTTTTGGCCTTCTTTCATTGTTATTCGTCCCTCTGAGGTTCTGGCTTTAGGACTCCTTGTAGTATTTTTTGGAGTGGGGGTTTAGTTGCAATGAAATTCCGGAGTTTCTGTTTGTCTGGGAAGGTCCATATTCTTTCTTCAAAGAGGAAGGAGAGCTTTGCGGGATAGAGTATTCTTGGTTGGCATCTGTTTTCTTGGAGTCTGTTGACTATGTCCCTCCACTCTCTCCTTGCCCGTAGTGTTTCTTCGGAGAAGTCTGATGTCAGCCTGATTGGCTTTCCTTTGAATGTTATCTGTTTCTTCCCTCTTGCCAGCTTCATTATTTTTTCCTTGTCCTGGATTCTAGGGAGCTTTACTATTATGTGTCTTGCTGTATTTTTTCTTTCGTCGTGGAAGTTTGGTGTTCTTCTTGCTTCTTGTATATCAATTTTCAGCTCCTTCTTCACATTTGGGAAGTTCTCTTCAATTATCTCTTTGAATATTTTCTCTGTTCCTACTTCTCTCTCCTCTCCTTCTGGTATTCCTATAACTCTTATATTTCCTTTCCTCATGGAGTCAGATAGTTCCCGAAGTCTTTCTTCATTCTTTTTCCTTCGTACTTCTCTTTCCTTTTCTGTTTTGGTTCTTTTTATTTCTGTGTCTTCAAGAGCACTTATTCGTTCTTCCATTTCATCAATTCTGCTTTCATTGCTTTTCCCAGAATTCTTTAGTTCTTCCACTAATTCTTTGATCTCCTGCATTTCTTTTACTTCCCTCTTTAGGGACTCAATTTCATTCTTCTGATCGTTGATTATTTTTCCCTTATCATTGTTTTCCTTTATGACTTCTGTCAGTTTTTTAATCACGGCAATTTTAAATTCTCTTTCTGGAAGGCTCAGAAGTTCTTCCAAGTTACTGTCGTTGCAATCTGGGGGCTGGTTTTCTTTTTGTGGTGTGCTTTTTCTCTGGAGAGTTGCTAGGTTGCGTGTGGTTCTTCTCCTCCCTACTGTCTGTTTTCTAATTTGCCGTATGCGTTGGGACACTGTGTTGTTGGGACTGGCCGGCATCTTGGGTGGGCTTCTCTGCTCCCCTCTGGTTCCTCCAGGAGTCATCTGTCAGTTTCAAGCAGTCTTTATTGGAGAAAGGTCCCTGTCCTAAAATGCCGATGTGGGGACACACTCCCCTGTGTGCCTGGTCTGCCCCAGCGGTGGGTTCCTGTTCCCCCTCTGGGCTTGGACTGCAGGCCAGAGGGGGTCTGGCGTGGGCGAACTTCCCCTGCTCACCTCTGGCTCCTGAGGAAGCCTTGTGCAGGTAGTCTTTACTGAAGAAATGTCCCTGTTCTAAAATGGTGATGTGGGACACACTCCCTGCGCGTCCAGTCTCAGGCACACTCTTCTGCGCACCTGGTCTGCCCCGGCTGTGGGTGCTCGCTCTCCCTGTGGGCTCAGACTACTTGTTCAGAAGGGGCCCGGTGTGGGCTAACTCCCCAGCTGGCCACTAGCTCCTTCAGGAGCCTGTGCTGGCTTCAAGTCGCTAGGTGGCGCCAGAGATCTCTCCTAGAACCCTTGGGGAGCTGATTTTCCACCCCGTGGGACAGGGAGCAGAGCGGGGATGGTAGGGTACACCTCAACGGCTTTGGGGTGCTGTGTCTGCCTTGTGCCCCACCGTCGTGGGGAACCCACGCCCCTAATTTCGTGCCCCGGGTCTCAGTTCCAAAGTCCTCAGTTCCAGGACGCGGGCTGTAGCCCAGTTCAGTGGCGCGGGAATGGCGCCTTTTGCACCGCTCCCGTGCCTGGACGCCTGGTTCCTGCTCACTCAGGGAGGGACCTTCACCTCAGTGAGGACCTCCGCGCATCTCCCCGCAAGCCTAGGTCGTCTCCCAAGCCTAGGTCGCAGGCGCGGGGACCTGGGCAGCCGCGATCCCAGTCTGCACTTGCTTTTCAAGAGCGCCAAGCGCGCCGCTTTCCCGCGCCAGCTTACCGGCAGCCCGGGCTGTGTGCATGTCTCCCGGGGTCTTTGTTCTTCTCTAATGGCGCCCGGAGCCGTTCGCTCACCGCCGCGGCGAATCCTGCAGGGTTCGCCTCAGCTCCCGTTCACCAAAATAGTTTAGTTTAATTCCTCTAACTACAACATTTCACATCTAAAGAATAAGAAGAAATATTGGGGCATACATTTCTCTGCCAAACTAGCAAATAAATCAGTTGGAAAACCATGCCCTGAGTAGCTCAACTATTGTTAATATTGGGTCAAAGTACAGGAAGAAAATAAGCTCTTGTTCAAATTCTTGCCCTGTTTTGCAGAATCTCTGTTTGGACAGCATATTCAGGGCAAACCCTCTGACTTGGCTTCTATTCCTGTTGGCATGCCATGAGATACTGACTAAGTTGCTTAACTTTTCAGTATAAGCTCTCCTATCTGCATGACACACATCTGATAATGATTATCCTGTCAACAAGCATTTATGAAGCGTCTATTTTCGTGTGCCACTGTGCTAGGTACTACCATACCAAGACACCTACCCATCAACAATATGCTAAAGATCTACGAGATAGCAAAAATAAAAGGTTTTAATGTCCTTGAAGGAATGAAACTGCCAGGTCAAAACACTATGAATTGAAAGGTTGATAAGGGTGAAAAAGGATCTGCCACAGTTTTCATAATTTTTAAATTTGTTTATGATATTGGGGTTGAGGATTAGTCCAGATAGTTAGCATTGCAAAAAGAGATACCCTTTTATGACTAGAATATAAGAATAGGCCATAGGGTCTACAAGAGTGTCAGGATTGTGAAAGCACCTGGATAAATAACTGAAAATTTATCACAAATACTCACCAAAATTTAAATTGAGTAAAAACATTGCATATGAAGAACCTGTGCTATTTTTGCTCCAGTTGTGAGCAGATTAATTCTCTGCGGTCCCTACCCTTCTCTGTGTCCTGGGCAGCTGTATCACAAGGTATCCTTTGCTACTATCTTCTAGCTGAGTTTGGCCAATAGAAGTGCTAGAAGATCAGAGGTTGGAAGGAAATGGTGTCAGAATGTTTCTTCCTGGCTCCCTGTCTTCCTTGGGTAGTTTTGGACAAGAACTCTTATAGGTCCCAGCCAGTTTCAAGTAGCACTATTTCCTCCTCTTGCCATTTAGGCCTAAAAGTGGTAATAGCTTTCCCCTCTTAATGGACTCTGGGTGCCTCACCATCTTTTGTTTGTACCTTTAACTTGCTCACAACTGAGAAAGTAGATATTTATATAAACTGTTTTCACTGTTTTTTTAAGATTTATTTATTTATGCATACAAGAGCTGGGTGTAGGCCAGAGGTGTGGGGGGTGAGAGGATTCATCAGAGACAGAGTGGGGAATAGAACAGGCAGATTGACTGAAATACACTGTTGAGGGGAGCAGGTCTGCTGTGCCATGTGGAATGGCTCCCTGGCAGGCCAGGGATTCAAATTTGTGCTATAGTGACTGTAGATAGCTTCATATTGCTGGGTCTTCACCCCTTGCGCGACTGGGGAGGCCCCTGTTTTAACTATTAACTTCTGGGGTGAATTCTGTTCCTCCCAAGACCATAACTAATGTATGCGTTTTAAAAAAATTTATAAAGTATATAAAGACATTTATATAGACTCTAAGTTATTTTTCACATGAAAAATAAAGTTACCTACATTTTTAATCAACCACCCTACAAGATGACCCTGAGATATTTGGATTTCATTTTTTTGAATCTCTGGAAGATCTCACACAGACACATTAAGATCCTCTGATGAAACCATTTTTAAGCTTAGAACTCATTATGAGAATATCTTAGAAGGGGGTGAGAAACCCCAGAGAATTCTTTGCATGTTGTCCTTTTCCTTTGCGTGGTTGCTGACGTGCATTTTAAGTCAGAAGAAAAAAACATTCATAATTCTGGCTTCTGTTAGGCAATAATGGGTTTCGCAGGTCTGGGGAGAGGATTTTTCTCAAAGCTTAGGGTGTATAGCAATTGGAGAACGCAAGAAATGTCAGCAGTCTGCCATCTGGGAGGACACTCACTCAATCCAGAGTTGACCTTTTGTGACTCATTTTACCTCCCCTCTGAACTAGTAACAAACGTACTACCGAGTGGGGAGCTGTAAATGAGTCCATTTCCTGAAAATAAGATTTTAATGAGACTCTCTAGCTGGTCACACATCAACACAAAATGATAAACTGTTGACTGTTGATCCCTTCCTTGCCACTCATGATGTAAACCCTGGTCCGTGTTCTTAAAACCAGCTAAACTCAACTGTAGTTTACAAAGTCATAATATAAGAGAAAATTAGATTAAAATAAGTCTGTCCCTGGTAGCAGTGAAAGGGACTTTTGCACAAAGCCAAGTTGGACTGGTGTCATGGCAAACACATTTTCCAACTGTCATGCTTCACTTGGCATGCTTTGGCTAACCGACTCTTTCAGGACTTATCATGGGGAATTAGGTAGGTTATAGAAAGGGAATGTCACATTCCAACTTTCTCTCTTGGAAGGTCTACATGGAAAAATATTTGCTTCCTCAGAGTTTGTCTTTGTTCTTTATTTTTAGGTATCGCTAGGTGAGAGAAACCGAAATCACAAACATGACCAGGACCCAGTGGGGAAGAACTGATGAAGAAAGAAATGCAAAGGCAAGTTTGTTTTTTCCCCACAATGCATTGTCTCTTTTTCTCAAGATAAATAAGCCAAGTGTTGTTAGTCTTAATTTATAGGAACAACTTTAAAAGTCCAAATGACCCTTCTCATTTGAAACTTAGACTCTGCTTGCAAAATCTCTTGTTTCTCCTGAGGTTGAAGAAAATGAAGGCTAAGAAGAAATATAAAAAAAAATAAGGTTGTGGGCCTTCCTGGTGGCGCAAGGGGTTAAGCACCACACTATGAAGCAATCTGCAGCCTCTGCAGCATGAGTTCAATCCCCGGCTGGCCAGGGAGCAACCCACATGGCGAAGCAGACTTCTGTCTCGCCCACTGCTCCCGTCAGCAGTGTGTTTCTGTCCATCTGCCTATTCTGTTCCCTGCTTTGTCTCTGGTGAATCCTCTCACCCTCCCACACCTCTGGCCTGTACCCTAATTCTTGTAGAAAAATAAATAAATCTTTTTAAAAAAAGACAAATCAACAAATCAGCACCGAATATGATGTCTGGTATCATAAATGCTAATAACTGGGAGATTCCATACCAAGAATTTATTTACACTGAGAGCCCATCTACTCCTCACAACTCAAGGGGTGGGTTTCTTCTCTTCTGAGAAGACAGATTCGAAGCAGAATGGAACATGTCCAAGTTATCCAAAGTGGAGATGGGGTCAGGTCTCCTTGTCCTCAAAACCCGTAGATACAAGGTGGTTTGTTTTGCTTTACTCTTAGCTTCCTCCCCTGCTATCCTGAAAGGGGCCTCCCCAAAGCTTGCCCTCTTTGATACCTCAGAGCACTTCCTGCATATAGAATTCACTTGACAATAAGCCAAGGATAGCCTTCTGGTAGCTGTCATCTCTCTTCATTTAGACCTGTTACTGAAATATTTTATTTTTCTTCATCTTGATTTTCTTTGGCTTGATCATGATTAAAATTTTTGCCCCCCAACTTTGCTCTAAACTCCTTGAGAACCAGGAACATTGAAAATATTTTTATTTTTATGACTCTCAAGACACTCACATCACACCTGGAACATAATGAACATTTAATATAGAATTTATTTAATTAAATCTCCAGAGGAGGCAGGGCTGGGAATTTACTGAAGGATCTTCATCATTATATCAATTCATAGCTAAGATCTTTGGTCTTAATTTCTCTAGGGCATCTGGTGCTAAGACTTAGAATATTTCTCGTTGTAAATGTGTAGTCTGCTTTATAACACCTGTTTGAAAGTCAAATTAAATTAGTCCAGAGTCTTTTAGAACATCAAGGTACTCTGTGCCATTAAACATCCCTAATTCTGGAAAGGAATACGAAATTAAAAAAAAAAAAAAACAGACTTACTATTTAAGCTGAGAATTTAAAAATCACACACAGAAAATGAAACAGGGCCTAAGAATAAAGTGACTTGCCATTGCAAAACCAGGTTCCCAGAAAACACTTCCTCTACATCGTGTTCAGTGTCCACCGCAGGCTTTGCTGACGATCCTGCAGCGCTGTAGGTCATGCCAATTCTGCTTGCATCAGGACAGGGCTTCTCTTTTACAAGAGTACTCATGCTCAGCGAAATAAGCCAAAAAGAAAAAGAAAAATACTGGATGGTCTCACTCATAGCAGGAATCTAGAAAACTTAAATAAGGGACCAGGAAAATGAATAACTATAAGAAAGTGAAAATCAAAATCAACAAAAAACTATGAACCAGAGACACTTTTAGGGGGGCGGGGGCGGGAGGGGAGGGATTGGGGTCAGAATGGGGGGGCTGCAATTGTATGGGGAATATAAAAATAAAATTTATTATTTAAAAAAAAATAAAGAATATGGTGTTTTGGGTTCACCACATATCCAAAAAAAAAAAAAGAGGACTTGTGTACCCTCACTCACAGAATATCATTCCATTTTCAACGTCAGTGTATTGTCAATGTACTCATATACATTGTCATCTTTTGCTGCAGTTATTACTGATGAGAAACCATAGAGCACAACTTCTGTGTGCACATCCATTGTGTATTTGTGGGGATTGCTGATAACCTGTATGACATCTCTGAAAGCTAACAATAAATTTGTCAGTGTTAAAGACATAGGTGTGAAGTAAAGATACATGATCAAATCATTAGAATTAGGATGGTAGAAGATGAATGAAAATAGTGAGTAAAGTAAGAGAGCGAGTGATTAAATATAGATGATCAGATTTCAGACTCAGGAAGATCATTCACTCAACAAACCTTTAAAAAAAATCCCATTTATTTATTTATTTTTAATTTTTACATCATTGTTCGTTTTTAAACAATATTTAATTCCCCCCCCCCACCAGGTGTAGTCCCCATAGAATTTCCTTCACCAGTGCACCCGTGCACCATCACCTCAGTCCCTTGGGCACTCCAGGTTCTGTGAATAGTGAGATGAAAGGCAGTCCCTTCTAAGAATATTCAAAATATCGAAGTAGAGGTTTTAGGGCAGTGTATTAATTTGTTAGGGCTGCTATAAGAAAATATCACACACTAGGTGGTTTAAACAGGAGAAATTTATATCTCACCGTTTTGGATTCGAGAAATCCATGTTCAAGGTGTCAGCAGGTTTGGCTTCTCCTGAGGTCTCTTTTCTTAGTTTGCACATGGAAACTTCTTGCAGTCACTACTCTGTGTACATTTGTGCATCCCTGTTGTCTCTCCCTTTTGATAAGGATACCAGTCATAGTGGATTAACAACCTCTTTTTAATTTAATCACCTCTTTAAAGACCTCATCTTCAAATATGGTAACTTATATTCTGAGATGGGGATTTCAACACATGAACTGGGGGGGAGGGGGCACAATTTAGCAGGTTTTCCAGGAAGGAGGGAAATCAAAGAGACTTCACAGAACATAAGAGGCACTACTAGGTTTTATAGGATATATAATAACTAGTAACAACTAGTCTGGGTGCACAAATGGAAAAGGGTATGAATAAAGAACTCATTACATGGTGACATTATATACTTTTAAAAACATCTAATCAGTCTAAAAATTCTTCAGTAGTGTATGTCCATATAAAACAGAGAAACAAATAGGAATTTGTGCTGGTAAGAAAAGTATCTAGAAACACTAGTAAGTGTTGGCTTGGGATGGAAGCAGAGTTTAAAGTTTAGTTGAAGTAAGGCAATGATAAATGTGGGGGTATGAGTAAGCTGGGAAAAGAGAAGAGGCAGTGACTAAGAGAGGTCTGACCATCAACCACTGGCTGCCAACCTACTCTTGGGCATCATGTGAGTTCCTCTGGACTCAGCTGCAATTTCATATTATACAGCCTCTTTATATCTCTAACACTAGGGACCTATGTCTAAGGAATAAACCACACTCCAATCCTCTGTTTAATCTTTATTTGTTCAGCAGATAAATATTTTGAAGGTTTTTAGTGGTTAAAAGTTTCTGGATTTGCTGTCTACAGAACCATGCTGAAACTCTTGAGTTATGAAGTTTTAGATTCTAGTAGAGAATTAAAAAAATGAGAGATTTCCTGGTTTGTGTGTATGTACTATCTCCATGATGCAGTACAAAAACCATCCTTATTTTTCCAGCTCAGAATCAATGACAGTAATAATGATTTCAATTTAAAGCTAGAAGAGGATAATTTGGGGATGTGGAATGTGAGGAAATTATGGATTGAATCAAAGAGTTATATTCCTCAGAGGAAGCTGCAGGTGGGTAAAACAATTCATTTGAGTTTGGTTTTGAGGATTAAAAGGGGGAAATGCTTTTTCAGAGGGACTGAAAAATGTAAGCAGTATGTGATTCAAAGATGTCTACCATATGGATTTGAATGGATCAACTTTCAGAGAACAGTGACATCAGAGAACAGTTCTCAACTTCTGAAGCCCTGTGAGCCCAGGAAGCAGGGTGAGCTTAAAATATCCTGAAATTAATTTTCCTGCTTTTATGATTTTAGCCTATGTTTTCATTTTAGTATTGATACGCAGAAGTAGTTTCTCAAAGGGTCCATTAAAAAAAAAGAAAGCACATCAAATAAGCAAATGACTCTTTTCATTTACTTGAATAACTAGAATACAAACTTCAAAAATTGCTGAATTGTGTCAAGTTCAAATGACCAGAATCAAATTTACATATGTTCAGGTCAACTAGGGGCTTTATGCAAAGGTAATATAACTTTGAAATGTACTTTTAATTAAGCTATAGGAGGAAACAGTAGTAAAATATTTCATTAAAATTTTTTCACTTTGTTACATTCCTTGTCTCTGACTTGCTCTGAGATTTTGATAATTCTGTTTGATTTACTTCATAGATTTTCACCATTATTACTACTTTCATAAGCTCTTCCCACATTCAATGTAATGCCAAAACAATGCAAGGTTCAATTAATTTTTACTTATACATGAGTTTCAATAACAGTCCCAGCTGGAAATTTATGCGTTATCTAGTCCATCCAATTCAGTTGACAAGAAGAAACCTCAGGCAGAAGGAAAAAACATTTCCCAATAACACAAGGTGATATACTGACAGAGAAGAGCCTCAACTACAACTTGTGTGTCTCCCACTCGAGCACCTTCTCTCAGTCCAGAAGATTATCCTTTTCCAGAAAATTATCCTCTCTCCTCTCTCATGTTCTGGAACCTTCTATGGGGTCCTCCTCAAAGCTGAGACTAAATCAACTAGCTGAGCAGAGGTTGGAGGCGAGATATGAAATTTACCTACATCACATCCAAGTTCAGGTGACTTTTGTTTTAATTGCAAGTTGTTTCTCAATTCCTCACAGTCCCCTTCCCGCCATTACAATAGGTAGTAAACTGTGAAACCATTAGTCAATCTAGATTTTCATACTAGACTGCAGATCAGGAGCTATCTTCATTGATACTTTGCAGATGTTATGGATCTTTGGCCAAAATTCTGGATGACAAAGAAATTTGATTTGCAGGGGTGGGGGAGGAGGGGAGTGGGAGTAAGTTCCTTCACTTTAAAATCATTGTTTCCAATTATGTACCTAAATCATGCTGGATATTGTAGGTATGAAAGGAAGTATGCTATTGTCTCTGATTCATGAACCTTATGGTAATAGACATTTTTTAATTAAAAAAATAGCTTTTCAATTTTAAAGGAGTTTCTAGACTGTCAGTTAGTAATGGCTGTGTGTTCTTCTTTTTGCACTTACTGGAAGAAGAAATCCTAATAGCTTGGTGGGAAAAGGCATCATTGGGGTTTTCCGTTGGCATTCTAGAAGGAAGCATGCACTATTTCACACAATACAATAATGTTCTTCCAGCAAAAAGGAACTAGTTCCGTGCCTAAAAGTGGTTCAAGGAAAAAGTTCCTGAGAGAAAGTAATTTGGGTGAGCCTTAAATCAAATCTTAAGGAACTGGACTCCCTAGTCATTTCTAAAGAAAAACTACAAAAACTTTTTCCTTCCTCTTCTCTGGACTTTGTTGCCAGGCTGCCTGTGATTGACAGCTGAAGGCAGCATGCTTTCATGGCTCTGTCCTATCATCTCTTATTTGGGAGATGAACTAACTCCTGCCTCTAGAATCCCTCTAGGTATAGTGAAATTATTTAATGAAATTTACTTATGGCTATGAAAATTTTACTTTCATAATGGTAAGTGAAAGCTTTATTTGTGACTTTGAAGTGTTGATTTATGAATGTGTAATGTATCACGTTCCATATATGGCTGCCTACATTCATTGCTGGCATTGCTCCACCACCCCTCTCTCTACCTCATTTCCTGGGAGACTGGACGCTTTGGCCTCTCTCAACCAAATCATATCAACAGGAGCCATTTCCCTCAGGTCTCAGCAATCACTAGCCTCCATGTCAGTCACACGAGAGGAAGTCAGCCAGTTCAGTTTGTTGTAAAAGAATAAAAACAATTAGTGAAAGAGTTCTAAATAGAGAAGGTGAGACTTGCTATTCTATTTATTAACATAGAAACAGAAGGACAAAATTGGGGAAATTCAAGAGCACGGTGGTTTTAAAGGAAGCATGAGTATGGAAACATGTATATTAAGCTTTGTGGCAACTCTGTGCAAAGTTGACGTTATTGCAAATCTGGAGTTTCAGACTAAAGAATGACTAGTTATTTAAAAAGGGTAGGATTCCTTGGAATGCTTTGTTTCCCTCCTCATGATGATTTAACAAGTTTGTCTCTCACAGAAGGAAAAGTTTAGTTATCTGTCCCTAACAAAGACTTTCTTTCACACATGTAAAATATAAATAGAACCACTTAACTCCACTATAGGCGTGAACCAGACTTACAAGGGTTTTTTGCATTTGAAGTGTCTGTTTTTCAATCACAATGAGTGGAGATGGGGCTTTCCTGGACACTTTGTCGTCAAGAATTGGCCCAGCACTGGCTTTCTCCACTCAGAGCATGTGAGCACACGGCGACCTCACCGTCACCCTGCCTCAGGACAGCCCCAGAAAGCACTGCTCTTATCAAAATAGCTCTGTTTAAATCCCACCCAAAGAAATTGTCCTAAGAGTGACCATCGGCAGAGCCGAGGCAGACTTGTGCGTGTCTTTCCTTTCCTTTCCAGGGCTGATCCCTCATGTTTAAAGAAGGAGACTCTCAAAGTCAGGAAACTAGTCAGACGTCCAAACTAAGCGGTGACGCTGAGGCCCCTGTGAACCGGAAACAGACATTTACAGTATTCCTTTCCAACTCAATGGGTTCCAAATACCTACCTCTGATGCTAAGGGGGGTCGACTGTTGGCCCACAGTCTAACCTGAGCGCAGGCAATGCACAGTTCACCAAGGTCACTTTTATTTTTCATTTTTACTGTTTAAAGAGAGAGTTGGGCGAATAATGTTGGCACTTTTACAAGAGGCTGGTAAAGGGAGAGGAAAGAGGAAAAAGTAAGACTGTTTTTAATTCATCAAACTGCTGCTGATTTAGGAATAATAAACACAAGTCTGTTTCCTTGATTATTTTATAAATAGCAAATATTTGGGTAAGGAATTTGATAAGTGCGCAGACTATAGGAATTGTTTACCAAATGATGCGTCAGTAAAAAAAAACAAACAACAATCCCCCAAAAACCCTTGAGTACGTCTGTGAGATTCTTCAGTCTGGTTCCCAAGGTCCTTAGTCATCATTTCCCTCATCTTTTGAACTTGATCAAAGCAACACAGGGCCTCTGAGGGGAAAGATTGGTTCCATTATGCAAAAGGCAATAAGGTAGTGCCCTTCCCAGCAGTTAATAGACAGGAATGTTGTAAAATACCGTGTGGTTTTCAAATACCAAGGAGGAAGTTTTCTGGTTTTATAACCTCCCTAGTCATCTTGACTGCCTTCTGCCTTCCTCAGGCATTACTGGCAGATTCCATACTTACCCAAACGGTCTAGCCTGGAGGCCTGTTTCCCCAAGAAGGCTGGGCCACTGCCTAGCACTTAACTAGAGCAGCGCTCAGAGCCACCAATTCCAGGCTTCTCCTCAAGACCTCAGCCAGAGTGCTGAGCTTTCCACAGTGCTGGTTACTGTAAGAGCCTCCTGATTTAAGTCACTGACCCAAACACCAAGCACATTGCATTTAAATGAGCCAGGCAGGCCTGAGGAAAATAGGAGGGAAAACATAAACTGTGGTCACTGCATTCCTCTGATATTTAAAAATTAAAATAGAAATATTTTGTCCACTTGTATTTCTGGGAACTTTAGGATGGGAAAATTCTACTGAAGTTCTTGTAAGTGAGGTATCAGTTCTTTCACTGAATAATTGCCAAGGAAAGAGTAATGTAATGGTGTTTTATTTGTTTGTTTGTCCAACGAATATTTTTTACATCATTTATGATAGCCAAGGCCAAGGTTATGAGGAGATGATGCTGAACAGGAACAGTCTACTCTGGATTCATCATGAATGGAAAGCGCGACTGAAATCACAGTTCTCTCAAGGTAAAGAACCTCTTTATGGGAAATGCAAAGAACCACCCACCTCCCAGGTGATATTATAAGTCTTTTTGTTTCTTGGGATTAGTATTTCATCCCAGAACCTCAGGAAGTGAGCAGTTATCAAAGCCAAAGCCCACACCCACAACCATGCTGGTGATTCCAGAGTCCTTAAATCCCAGAGACAAGCTTAGAGCTGTGTTTCAATGTCTGAATTGCAGGTAGGAGGGTGCATTCTCTCTGCTTCTGAGGTGCAAAATTCTTTCTCTGTGAAGATGGTTCCAGCCATGTAGCTAGGGACCCTCGTATCCTGCAAGATAGGTTTACATGGTTTTGGTGTGACCAGCTCTCAGAAATGCCTCCTTAATTAAGCTTGTGAAGTTGGTTCCCAATCCTAAATTATGAAAATATCTGCTCTTAACCACATTTGTCTCAAGGTCTTTGAGTAACTTGATACATCTTTAATCTAATCATGGGTTGTACCAGGAAACTCAAGGACGCAGAACAGTTTAAATGTGGCCCTGGAAGGCAGAAGACTCTATCCTTCCCTTTGTAACCTGCCAAAGAGAAGCAGGAAGTCTTAGGCAGCCCAGAAAAGGATAGACAACAACAAATGGGATAAACAGAATGGAAGAAGTTCCAGACCACAGTTTTGTTTTCATATTGGAGTCTTTCAACATGATAGGTGCATGTTACATGGAAACTTTATTTGTTGCCCAAGATAATGATTGGATTTAGAAAACTCTTTTCTTTTGAGTAAATCAAAGAAAACACACTCCTGTGTCTAACTGTTTTGAATATGCTCTCCATGTGAGTCTAACATTATGCTAACTATTTAAGTGGAGATTAGAACAGCTTCCAAACTTGTAAAACCATGTTATACATATACAACAATACCTTTCATTTGAGCATTTATCCTCCCAGCACTTCTGCAAGGGTGTAGATAATTTATGGCTTATTTTATGGGTAAAGAAACTAAAATGGCTAACCATTAACAGATTGTGTTTTCTCAAAGTTACCCAGTAGGTAATTAGTAGATTTAAGAAAACAATCCAAGACTGCAAATTCCCAGTTTCTTGGCCTTTCCCCTTAGACCTTTATACCTTAGATGATCCTAATTGCAATGCCATAAGAATGTAAGAAAACCTGAATTAAGGACCCCAGTGGACTATTGCCTCATTCCCATCACACGACATTTTGACGGGGAGCTTGATAGTTACTGTGCATGAATTCTTTCAAATGTACTGCTGCTCTTAAAGTGAGGCAAGAGGGACTCCTACCCTTGTTTCTTAGCTTTAGAGGCCAGGACATATCAGAAACACACTTATTAACCAACAGGGTGTTCAGTGCTGGCACAATAGACTGTACCCCTAAACATCTGCCCTTATGATTAGCACTGTCCAGGCCCAGGGAATCACTGTTTGGTTTCTTCTGCTCTCCGTCCTCAGTACCAAACAAATGCTGGGAAGGTTTATGTGCTGTGGCACTGCCGACATTACAGATGGGCCCTGCTTTGGAATGTAGGGAATATTCAGTAAAGGAGTGCTCACGTATAGAAGAAAAAGACAACTTGATCTGCCCAGTCCTTTTCACATTGCATAATCAAATATCACACCCAGTAGTGTTCAGCATTTATTTTCTTGGTTCTCTTGAAGTTCCAACTGGTGGTTCTAGGAATACTCAGGAGTTAGTGTGACGTTTGCCATAGTTGCAGATGGTGATGGAGAAGGATTCTGCAGAATCTGACACTTTGTGTTGCTCTTAAATTTGTACCTCTGCATGGTTAGATGTACCATTAGTGAAGCATCATATCAATTCTTTACTTTGACATAAATATTGAAGCACATAGTATTATACAGATCTCAATTATGTGGACCTCTTCAACTGTTGTTGCCTGACTATGGCACCTTGGACAGATTGTAACTTCTCTCGGCTTCTGATTTCCCTGTTTGCAAAAGAAAAGTATCAGACCAGATGCTCACTAAAGTCTCTTTCAGCTCTAAAAATTATTTAATTCTACTTATTTACAAATATATATGCATCCTATAAACCTTATGTTACCTTACATAAAATCTGTTATAAACCTGATACAGACTGTTATAAACTTTATAAACCTTATATATATAAAAGGTAAGCCCTTGTCATTGTTCATTTTGCCCATCTAACCTCATTCATTCATTCTGTGAGCATTTATTGAGTGCTAAATAATATGGTAGACATTGTGCTATACTTCAGGTAAAACACAATGACTAAATCACAATTTATCTGCCCAAGCATCTTACAGGTCAGAAGACACATAATTAGATAATTAGGTTACAGTAAGGTCAGTCCAATGAGTGCTGAGCCTGCAGGATGAGATAATCCCATAGAACACTGACTCCCTTATCTGCCCTAAAAGATGTTGAATCTCAGAAAGCTCTTGGAGAAGGTAGTAAGAATTGAAGCTTAATGGCTTCAATTAATGGCTTAATGGTGAGATCAGTGCTCTTTCTGGCCTCTGTATCTTTGCCATGCTACCCTCTGTTGGGTGGTTCTTCCCATTCTCTTACCCGGGATGAGCTGGTATGGCAGGCAGGTGCTGGGAGTCTTCGATGAACTTTATTCTGCTGGTAGTGGAAAAAGTCCAGGTAATAGATTTCAGTGGTAAATGGATTATAATTTGACAGTGGTTTGAAGGAAAATCATTAGAGACCAGGTTAGAATTAAAGGAATAGGTGAGGAGGCTGCAGACATAATCCAAGTAAGAAATCGTGAAGACTTAGTGTGGGGCAGTGATAATACAAATAGAGAAGAGGGGTGGGATTGGAGACATATTTTGGAGAAAGACATGGGTCCATTTAGGAAACACCAAATTCAGAGTGTACAGTCCTACATTGGAATAATTGATTTTTTTCCAATTCAAAGAGCAAAAAGAAAACTTCATCTACCCCTGTTCTGAGATTTGCATCTTTAAGATCTTACTGGCTACTATTTCACATTATGACGTGCAAGTTGAAAAAAGGGTATGAAAGCCCCAAATTCCAAGAGGTTCATTGTTGATCCTCAGCTTTACAGCTGTGAGCAAATCATTCCCAGTTCTCACTTTGTCATCCCTTGTGCATCCTGAAGTGTTTTTCTGGAGGGGAAATTTGCACCATTTAAACAGGACTCCTGCCATCCACCACATAGGTTTTCAGTTTTCCACATAGAGAGCCTATTCACAGCCAGGAACAGCAAGAAGTCACTTCAACTTAGGCATCTGCAACTCTGGCAAATGAGTCAGAAGCAGGGTTTGTTTTTTCCTTATGAAAGGCAGATGCTCTAAAATTTCAGGGCACAGAATTATTGGCAAAGCACATGGGCTGAGATTACCCCCAAATCTCTGGAAGCAACTGAAGGCAGTTGGCAAGATTTGTCCAACCAGAGGCAGGGGGTCCACCAAGGAACCAGCAATTGCCCTGGGGAATCTCCAGAGGGGAGTAAGGGTAGACTTGTCAGACCTTCGATGTCCAAGTGGCATTTCCAGGAGCCGGTGATTTACGCAGATTTATATAAGATTGAAGGCAATTTATGAAATCTGTTCCTTCAACTACATTTCCTAAGAATTACTAGGGATTAGAATGTCACTGTTCTCAGACACTGTGCCACGTAGTTTTCTGTAAACAGTTTATACAGAAGTAAAGGAGAAGGAATGATCACTTGCCAATTTGTGTGAGCTTTTCCATACAGAGACTCACTATGGCCAGTTCCTTCTGATTTATGGACCAACTGTCTGTAGCCAGCTGGACGGCAGTCACCATGACTCCTTAGCACTTCTAGAACATTTTAAAAGTAAACTCTAATAAAAAAAAAAAAACTTCCTTTCTATTATCCCCATCCTTTGGGATGAGGAAAATTCCCCACAGAAATTGTACACGTTTTGCAAAAGCTGTAAATCCAGGGGTGACATTTTAATGTTCCCAAGTCAATGCATAATAAATGTTGTTATAAGTTAAGAGTGTTTCTAGGATGTGTTGACTTTGAAGTCTCTCCAATAAGTAGGTATTTTCCCCTTATTCAAGGCTACTATAGATTGCTTTTAATTTCTATTAACACTCAAATTTTGCTAAAAATTGTAGAGTAATTTTTGGCTTTTTTATGACCTGCAATAATGCTTAAATTCAATGCCATCAAACACACTATTTTCCTTGTTCTGAAGAATTAAAAACCAAGGATCACATTTGGGAATGGGGGATATTACAGAGTGACTACGTTAGAGAAACTATAATGTGTTTGAGAGTTCATACATTATTTAATATTGTTACTTGGCAATTTTAGCCCCCCACCACGCCCCCTGCCCCACATACGAAATTTTGAAATGACCTAAAATTGAATCTGCTAAGATCTTACTATGATTTTTTTTTTATTAATAAGCTACCTGGTAGCACTAGGAATCATTTTCTGCTATCAAAGTTAGATTTTCTGCTCCCAAAAGAATGTATATATTTCATGGCTTGTTGGGCATGAAGAAGTATTTCAGCACAGTAGAGATGTGCCAGCCTCCTTGGCCTCCTTACTCCCTCTGCAGACAGGTGCACAAACCTCCCTACAGATTTTGAAGCACCAAATGGTTCCCACACCCAGAAGTGGGTCTTGCTACTGTCTGTCACCTGTAAAAGAAAGCCCACATGATGCTGACATTGAGTCCATAAAGAAAATTTTCAATAGGTCTATTGAGAATTTGGGGTGGAGAGGTGGTTTTTCTCTGGGGTTGGATTTTCTGTCTGGAACAGAAAACTCTGAGGACTTTCATGTATGGAGTGCAGCCTCTGTGCCAGCAAAGCCCACAGAGTGGTCAGCCAGACAGGAAGTGTCTTTGGCCTGCTGGAGTGGGCTCCTGTATCCTCAACTTAAATGCCCTTTGGTCCAATTGAAAGACTCTTCTAGTATTAAATTTAAAAATGGAACCTCAGAACTATATAATGCAATTCCATTTGTGTGAAAAAATTACGAGACATTTGTATGTGTATTTATTTATTTATACTTTA